GGGTCTGCTGTTCATTTTCCCAGTTCTATGCTGGGTTACTGTCTTGGAGTCCCTTTGGCTACCCTGGCCAACAACTCAAAAGAAGGTATCTCCTATCCGGCATTGTTGCTTGTGATGTAGCCTTTAGCTATGCATATGGACTCTTAAGAAATTATATTGGCCCCTTTAATCTTTGGTTATACTTTCCTTTTGGGTGTTTAAGGCCATACAGATAAACCAATTTATTTTCACTCTTAAGGTCATTTGAGGATCTGTGCCTCAGGGGTCACATGGGCTTGGAAGGAGCCCCTGGCTCCTTTCTTTTACCAGTTCTGCCTATGTGAAGATAAGTTAAAGGTCCTACTCGACAATGGTTGGCTTCGCTTGGAAGCATGGAGGAAATGATTCCTCTGTGTTGACCCTCCTCTTTGTAGACTGGACACTGGTTCAAGTCCATCTGGTGGGGACTCCTCAGCCTCCTTGATCAAGAGGACAGGTGACCCACCACCATTACAGGACATTTTGAGAGATGTTCATAGTCCTCTGGAACTAGTCGACCTACAAAAACTGTCCTTTATGTCCCTCTGACCAAATTATTATAGGCCTCAAAGTATGTCTGTTAAACACCCAAGAAGCTTAGTTCCACCAGTCTGGTATTTTTAATTACTGTGTGTCATGTAGACAAATCTTGGGCAAAGACCAGTTGTTCTCAGATAAACCTTACCTAGACATATATTTCTTGATCTGCTATGTATAATTTGTCAGTAGGTTGTAGGAGTAATATGGTTCCCTCTGGTTGTCAAAACTAGCTAGGCATTAGCTCTCGAATTGTCTCACCCCTCCATTATGGTTTTCCCACTTAAGGTGCCCCCATTCCCCCCTTTCTCCCTTAATAATACCCTTCTACTACGATCCTACCTCTCTTGAGCTCCTTCTTTCCCTTTATCCCCTAGGTTCCTTGTATACCCTTCCCTCCCCCACTCCCTTAAACTAACCCAATTTTTATCCATATCTCCCTTATTAACCCCTGATTCCTACTGTTTTTCTCTTTCAGGTTCCTTCTTTTCCTTTACTTCCCTGTTTCCTTTCCATTATCCTGGTTCCTGTAGTTACGTCTGGTTGCATACTCATTTATCAGGGTCTGGTTCTAGGATCCACATATGAAGGAGAACATATGTTCATTTTTTTTCTGAGTCTGTGTTACTTCACTTAGTATAACAGTTTCTAGTTCCATCCATTTACCTGCAAATTTC